ATTCTTCTTTTTTTTCCAGAATTAACTAGACACAATTAAATAGAATTATATATTTTTTTAATTTTGATTTAGTGATGTTACAATATAAAGTGACAATTTAAACAAAGAAGAATGAATAATAGTAATATTAGTTTGGATTTATGTGTACACGATAAAGATTTTTTATTTGAATTTAAACGTATTGTTGAAGGTTGGATATTATCATTTATATGTATATTAGGAATTATCGGTAATATATTAACATGTGTAATATTATTTAATTTTCGTATGCGTAAATCATCAACAAATCTTTATTTATTAGCCTTATCATTTATTAATATAATTGTTTTAATTAGTTTTATATTATGTCATGGTTTAAGATCAATATTATATAATTATTGTACTTATTCATTCTATGAATTATTTTATATTAGAATATTTCTCTATATTTATCCAATACATATAACATCAATGTTAACATCAATTTATTTAACAGCAGCAGTAGCCATTGATCGATTTTTTATTATTTGTTTACCATTTCAAATTTCAAGATATAGAACACAACAATATTCAATATATGTTATTATTAGTGTATGTTTATTTTCTATACTTTATTGTTTACCATTTTGGTTTGAATTTACACATGAAGAAGAAAAAATAGAATCATCAAAATCAAATGTAACATATTTAACATTAGTTTTATCTAATTTTGGTAAAAAACCATTATTTCGATTATTAATGCGTAAATATTTTTATATTATATTTGTATTTTTATTACCATTAATTATTTTAATATTTTGTAAAACATGTATAATTAGACGTTTAATGGCAATACATAAAACAAGACGATTATTAGGAGCACAACATCGTTCAAATAATGCTATTACTCTATTATTATTATCAATTGTTGCCATTTTTTTATTCACACAATTTCCATATTTTTTATTTAACATACTTTATGCTCTCAATGGACCACAGTATATGGAAACATCTAATGCTCGACTCTATTTAAGTGTTAATAATGTTTTATGTGTTATTAATGCATCATCTGTATTTCTATTATATTCCTTTTTTGGACAAAAATTTCGACATATCCTACGAGCCGTATTTCATTATAAACGAACTACAAGTGATAGTGGTCATTCTAAACGTCTACATACAAAAGATTGACTGTAAATTTTCATTTGTGTATTGAACGATATGTAAAAATAATATCTAAAAATTTGTTGGTTTTAGTTTCAAGAAAAACAAAAAAACAAAAAAAATATGAGATTAAAGTGAAAACAGAAAAATTTATTTATCTTATACTCATGTATTGATTACTAATGATCCCTTTGAGGATCTTTTAGAAAAGATCGGATAGAAGAATAACATGTGAAAAATTACTGAGGCAAAAAATCGTAGGCTGAATAGTTAGTTGAACTAGTGGTACACCAGATACAAAACAGGTTTATGCTTCATTAATAACATATCAATTCAGTCGTGAGATTTTAAAAGCATGTTCGGTCAAAACTGGTTGCAAATTTGGACTCTCCATAGTCGGTCACCTTGTACGCATCTAGCTTTGAATCGGAATACTCTAGAAAAGTTTTTTAATCTCATTCCAACCTTGGTCGTCTCCATGAAGTTCGTAAAAAATTCTTTTGCAAAACAATGGCGAGAATTTTTTCTAGAGTAATCTGATTCAACACTTGTTGCGTACAAGGTAACCGACTATGGAGAGTCCGAATTTGCGATCAGTTTTGGATGAACACGCTTTTAAAATTTCTCGACTGTATTAATTTGCTTGGTGCAGTCAGTTCTAATTTCTAGCTAATGAGCTCCATTAAAGACCATGCCGTTTTTTTACCCTGTCTCGCAGCTATAACTTTCTCAAGGCCAGATTAAGCTTTTAGTAAAATCGATAATTTAACAACGCACAAGATAGAAAATTTCTCACAGGCACTTCTCTATCAACGCTTCGTCCGATAAATATAGTTCCTTGGAACTTTATGTTTGTTATAGTATGTAGATGCTCCCTTTCTGTAGATGAAATTTTATCCGAGCAATAGTTCTGAAGTTATATCGTAAATATTACTTTTTTTCAGCATACTTATTGTTCTATTTATGAGCTGAGTCATAGGCTCACTAACGCTAATTAAGCGATTTTGGATAGACGACGTGCGTTATGGTATGTGAGTTGTAAATTGTTGTATCTTTTAGAAAAGGTCAGATAGAAGAATAATATTAGAAAGAATAACATGTGAAAAATTTTGGTACTAGGGAAAGTACCGAAAAGTTCGATACCTACGAAAACATTTAAGGGACGAGGATCTTCGCGATTTAAGGCGGAAGGAGCTTCTTGTGAATTCAAAAATAGATTTCGGTAATGAAAAAAACTTCGGTACTTTCGGTACCGGCATCGAGTTGGTACCGAAAGCTTCGGTATTTCTGGTACGGTTCCAATGGTTGGTACCGAACGCTCGATACCGGTACGGACGATTACCTATTATAGAGCTCATCAAGTTACGTAAGAAACTGTCTTTTCTGACTTCATAGTTAATGGAATGACTTTTACTCTTCCAGCAAAATTATCCTATTCGGCGCCAGTTTCGATGCAAGTTCATCAGTACCGCGATAAGTTTTATAACATGTTTTCCCTTTTTTTAGCAAAGCCCTTAGGTTTTTTAATAAAGAGTGAAACTTGAACTATATTCTCTAAAACTTTGAATGATCTTCCATGTAAGGTTCGTGGCAGATACTGGCAACAACATCAGATCAAATTATTGAAATATTATTAAGACAAATACACACTAAAAAAAGATGCGACGTAGCAGCAAATTAAGTCGCATTAATGTGCCTTATTCTGTGAAAATAAGACTTATTAATGCGACTTAATTTGATCTCGCATCTATTTTTAAAGTGTAGAAGACTTAAAAAAGATGAACAAGTACTAATGAAAAGTATTGCACATTTTATAAACAAAGAACAAATCGAAATAAAGAGGAAAGAAGAGGTAATAAAACAGACAATCGCAACAGCATTCGATTAAATTATTCAAATATTATTAAATCAATACAGTAATCTTGTTTAATTTGTTTTGTTGTGTGCTTCGTATATTATCGTTTTATTAGCCTATTTCTTTCTGGTTCTGTCATTATTGCACATTGGGGCTTTTTCAAGGTCACAGTAGGTTGGATTAGGGATTGGTTTATGTACATGACAGTTCTCTGTGCTGTTTTCTGTAGTTCACGATACAGACTTGCAATTGTTCATGTGTGAAAAGATATAGTTTATGTGAATATCGTTGTTCAGATATACTTTTAAAAGAGTGCATGAAAAATAGTCTTTCGCTCCATGAATCTGAGATGAACAGCTCGTATATTCGATGACTGGCAATAATTTCATTTTCTGTCGTTTAGACAAAAGCAACAACATCTGATCAAATTATTGAGCTATTATTAAAACAAGTCGAAAACTTAGAAAAAATTAACGAGTACCAACGAAAAGTAATTGCATATTTTATGAACAAGGAGCAAATCGAAATGAAAAGAAAGAAGCGACAATAAAGCAAAAACTCTATCAAAACGAAACAGCAAAGGTACAGAAAATATTAGATGTCTTAAATGAACCCAATGAATAATAATAATAATATAATTAATTGTAAATATTTTAAATTTGTCATTGCATAAAATAATAGTTAAAATAATTAATAAAATTAAAAAAAAAAATAAAAATTGTATATTTTTAGTTTAATTAATTTCAATTAGTATAGTTCAAAATAAAAATAGAAAAATTTTCAATACTTTTTTTTTTGGTTTTGTTGTGTGCTCCTTATATCATCGTTTTATTAGCCCTTAAAATTTTTTATCGACTACTCACATGTCAAACTTTTTTAGCAGAAAATCTAGATGGTTAAAATGATTTCATCTGAAGCAGATTTTTTCGAAATGTTCAGATACTAATTTCTGTTTTATGAAAATCAATTTTTTTTACTATCAGAAAAAAGATCGTTTTATTTTTTTAACTTTTCGGGTCTCAAGTATTTTTGATATAACGTTTTCGATTGACTTTCTGAAATTAAAGTTTAGTTATGGTTTTGTAAAGAAGTTCACGGTATATTTTTTAAAAACAATTTAACTCTAGCGTACCTAAGGAATAGATGTTAGAGTAAAAATGCCAGAAGGGGCATTCTTTATGGTACGCCCGATGGATTTTATTTTTGAAAAAAGTACAGGCTCATGCTCATTTTTTGCAAGTGCAGATTAATAGTCAAACTTTATGAGATCTAGTGTAAAAGTACAGTCAAATGATGACATGAGATCAAATTTGAAGCGTATCTCTACTAGTGAAAAGAAGAGTCAAAGATCAAACTTGATTCCACAAAGCACATTTTTTCATGTGTAGCTTAGAAACAGAAATATAAACAGGTGTACTGTTCTTTTACAAACCTTCGTAACGAGATAAATTGTGCATATTTTCTGGAATCCTTACTAGACGTTAGTATTATACATAAAAACCCTCAAGTGTTAGCTGTCGAAGAGAGACGTGAAAAGAACATCTATTTTTTTTATCAATTATCAGCTGTTTCATTATAATTGTTTGTCGCTTATCAGAATTAGTGCTTCGCTCATTGATCAGAAAAGCGTTATCTTAGACTACATTTCTAGTGTTGATTATTGCGCATACTTCCTCTGTAATGTAGATGTTGTATAGTAAGCTTTAAAAAATATTAGTAAATTTATCCGTTACTCTTGTTTCAAAAACGTCTTGTCATTAAAAGTGATTTGTCTGAAATTTTTAGGCGATCTAATTCAGTATACCTCGTTATATTAGTTCACAGTGGGGAACAACGTGGAGATTAGGGGAAAAAACGAAAGTGCACTTTTTCAAGGTTTAAATAGCTGATCATATACATCAGCAAACGTTCTACCTTTTTGCCATTGGAAGTTTTTTTCTAGATGCGAACCTTAGTTGGAAAATCGCTAGGAAATATTGAACCGAAAACAATGGTGCTATAGGAAAACTGGAATATGTGCAAAACCAGAGTAACCGTTTACAAAAAACAAACACATATACAGAATCTGTAGCATATTCTCTATCGATACAAAACAATTTCTTTTAAAAGTCTTTCGTGACGCAATAGCAACCGTTCTTTGTTAACTAAGCGGTTTTTTTAGCGGTGCCTTCAGTATAGTGATGGCACCTACTATTGCCCAGCTTCAAAATTCAATAAAATTTTCACCCATTATCCTTCAACATATAACGCATCTTCCGAGGGGCGCGCAAAGATGCGCAAATTTTCCTGAGCTATGTTGCAGAGTTCTAAAAACCTCAGTGTTTTACAGATTTTTTCGTTTTGTTTCGATTGTAAAGTATTTTTTCTGAAAACCGATGACATATTTGGATACAGCACGAAAAACTGCATCGAACGGTGTGTCTTTTAAGAGCTTTTGATTAATATGGTTTATCGTGAAAATCTCTGCCAAACGAAAAACACCGATTTTCCCGCTTTTTTTGTCCGCAATGACGTTAAACTAGGTTAATGATGTTAGGAGAGTTAAAGGTAAGATTTTTTAGGATAAGGCCTTGGTTATTGGATTCCACGGTAGAAGTTTCGGACCGAAGCAACGTTTAAAATTCTTGATTGCGAAGGTTTTCCTATACAATAGGCCTTCGGTTCGACTAGTCCAAAAGCCTCGCAAGTTTTATGAGGAGCACTTATGTGGGCCCTCCTTTACCATCAGGGTCGTCTCACCGACTCATATTTCTTGTGACACTTTTGGACTAGCAAGCCGAATTTGATGACAATTTTAAAGTTGAGACACGTTCAGGCAGTAACACTTCTGCAATACACCAGGACTAAATCGGAGACTTACAGAGTTCAAACATTCCACAGTATTGTTATAACCGCGATTGTTTTTAGTCTATTCCGTTTTGCATTTTATTTTGAATTTTAGTCTGGGAAATTTTCTAGAAATTCAGCTGTGAACTCTGCAGAAGATTAGGGACTTGGCTACACAAAACCGAAGAGCCAAGGGGTAGTGGTGGGCCCTAGCAGAGTAGTGACGATCTTTTATCAGATCTCATAAAAATCAGCATGTTGAATAACCTATAAAAGAGGCTATGTTGCATTTTTCAGAAAAAATGCTTTTTTAAAAACACGGTCTCCAGAAGTCCGCCGGAACCTT